AGCGATGAGGGAGCATTTGGTGAGTAATAAGAGAGTAAATTCGAAAATCTCACGGTGTGCTCCCTTTTTACTCCCCAAACGCTCGGAATTTTCTGTGTGGAAAGTCCATCGATCCGACTTCCCATGTCTCTCGTTGCTTGGGCGATAACGACGTTCGTTGCATCTATGGCCCGCGTCGAGCTGAGTGATTTCGACGGAGCGATTCCGACCAGAATGGAAAAGGATCCGATAAAATTCTAAAGAGATCGACGGCACCCCGTAATCGTAATCGTAATCAAAGCGACGGCAGATCCTCGCAGAAACCCAATCGGATCCCCATCGGGAATTACATCTAGCTTTTCATTCATTCGTTCCATTTCGCTTTCAAACACCCACTCGACCGTCGAGTGGGTGTCAGAAAGCGAAAAGCTGAAAAATCCATCAAACTTTTCCATTCCGTCCTGCCTTTGATACCTGAATATAGTCTTTCTCCGAAATGCTCCACAGTAAACAGGTCGCTCAAATTTGCTAATGCGGAACGGAAGAGCCTCCGTCACGCCGGCGACTCTGCGATCGTTTCCCTGGCGACTGGCGAGGAACTGGAGTGCGAGGCCGCGCGAGAGACATCTATTGGGGATTTTGTGAGGCTCTCAGACGTCATTTTCGTTTTCCTTCAACGTTCTTCCCTCATTTCGAACGATGGCAGTTTCGTCTCGCTCGTTCCTCGTTGGGAGCCAGAATTGCTCGGTGCGTTATTCCAGGCAGTAATCGCGGCAAAACGCGAGTTAGCGGAAGGCTTGCCGCAGGACTTTTCAACGGATTTTGCACCGGTGACGTTAACGTCATCCCTCTGAACCGATAGTTCTCGACCTTTTCGATCCCGCAGTCCACCTTAACTGCAAATTGATCTGAGGCCCACTACAGACTTAAAAGCTATACAATTTTTGCTCGTCAAACTGTTGATTCCTATTTCAAAATTACGGATACACCTCAAGGGCCCACCCGCGGTACCCCAGCGGCCCACCGGTTGTGAACCACTGCTCAAAGCGACCCGGGAACCATCTGTAATCCTTCTGGGGTCTGGTTCTTCGTCTCGCATCGAACATTCCTCTAACTTCATCCAGACGAGAAACTTTTGCAGAATTTCCATTTTGCAGAATTTTTACAAAATGGAGTTCCATTTATAGCGTTTTTGCACATTACCTGTCGTATACGTGGGCCTATCGAAAAGTTCCACGACCGGCCTTCATTCGAGCGAACTCAGAACTTAGGAGACACCCTTGGATCCCCAGAGGACGAAGGACACTCGCCTGTACTTCCCCGGCGGGTGGTTCCCCGCCCTGATCTTGCTGAGGAGCGCCTCAGGCCGCGTCTCCCCGCACCACAGCTGCGCGAAATTCAAGAAGAAAAGCTGGTACGACGAAAGCGGCAGGCCCGGCATCAGGATCTCCGCCGTCGGATTCTTCTGCAGCCACTCCCTATACGCCTAAAAATAAAAATATGGATATATATTGATCGAATCAACTGATCATCGGATTATCGTGAGAGGGATTAACGATACCCGGAAGGCGATCTTGAGCCCGCCGAGATCCGCGATGTTTTCTCCTTGGGTCGTGACTCCGTTGAGCTGGATCCCCAGCTCGTCCACCGTCATGTTCCCGTAGTAATCTTCCCGGGAAGAGGCAAAAAGAGTGAGCGACGGGAGAGTAATGAGCGTCGAGTCAGAGCCGGGATCATTAAAATATTGATACTTTGAATTGCGACCAGTCATGATGAATGTGCTCCACGGAATTCTGATGTCAAAAATAGAAAAATTGATGCGATTCTTTCCTTCTTTTCCGCAGCATCTGGCATTGCTTAAAGCAGGATCCTTTCTTCAGAAAGAAAAGGTACGAGTTGATAAACTCGAACTGAATTGATGTTAATAGTATCTCCAGCTTCACTCTCAGCATGTTGCCCTTCATTTCCCCTCTTTTTCCCCCTTCCCCCCCCCCCCGCCCTTTCTCGCCTAGTCAAGCTGAAAATTCCCCAAATATAATTATATATTTCATACTGAAAAATTTTTCTAACCAGAAAATCCATTGATAAAACATTTTAAATTGAATGATTCACATATTAAAAAAAAAACATATGAAAAAATATAATATAAAAATATTTTATAAACAAATAATAGAGGCGGATACGTACCGACGACACACTGCGCCCTCTCCCTGAACCTCCTCTCCGCCTCGGGCGCCCACCAATTGTGGAGGTTCCCCTCCCCGTCGAACAGCCTCCCCCGATCGTCCAGGGAATGGGTGATCTCGTGGCCGATCACCATCCCGATCCCTCCGTACGTCATCGACTTGGGGAAGCTCTTGTGGAAGAATGGCGGCTGGAGGATCCCAGCCGGAAACACTGCAGCGATTCCATCAAAAATCCTCCTTGTGTTGTTGTTTTTTTTATAAATAGAATTGATTATATAATTAATTATATAATTAACTTTATAATTTATTATATAATTTATTACATCATTGATTGCATTCTTTATTATTACATTATTTATTATTACATTATTTATTATTACATTATTTATTATTACATTATTTATTATTACATTATTTATTATTACATTATTTATTATTACATTATTTATTATTACATTAT